CCCGTCTCGGCCTCCCAGAGTGCTGGGATTACAGGCTTGAGCCACCGCGCCTGGCCTGTTTTTCCTTTAGAAGGGCAAGAAATTTCAAATAGCTGCTTCCTTAGGCCTTCAGTGAAATGATTTTCTTTTGTAATTCTAACACTTTTTTTTAATCATTAAAAATATTTTTTTAAGTTTTTGAGGAAAGCAGCTACATCTGTCTTTTAAGAATATACTGCCCCCCGAGAAATGAGACTATTCAGCCTTTCATTATAGTGTTTTCTTTTAAGATTGGCAGCTCCAACGTGAGAATGCCTAAGATGGAATCTTGGCTCTACCCTTATTAGCTGTATGATTGTGAGAAAGTTAATTTCTATAAGCCTCCATTTTTTTCCTATATGCAGGGACGCATACAGTATTTATTTCATAGAGCTGTTGGGAGGATTAAGTTAGATAATGCACTTTTTTTTTTGTTCTTTATTGAGACAGAGTCTCACTCTCGTTGCCCAGGCTGGAGTGCAGTGGCGTGATGTCGGCTCACTGCAACCTCTGCCTCCCAGGTTCAAGCGATTCTCCTGCTTCAGCGTCCAGAGTAGCTGGGATTACAGGTGCCCGACACCATGCCCCACCACTTTTTTTGTAGTTTTAGTAGAGATAGGGTTTCACCATGTTGGCCAGGCTAGTCTCAAACTCCTGACCTCAGGTGATCCGCCTGCCTCGGCCTCCCGGAGTCCTGGGAGTACAGGCGTGAGCCACTGTGGCCGGCCTTAGGTAATGCACATTTAAAGCCCTGTGTCAGGGGCTGGGCACCATGGCTCACACCTGTACTCTCAGCAGTTTGGGGGGCCAAGGTGGGCCAATTGCTTGATCCCAGGAGTTCGAGACCAGCCTGGGCAACCCGGCAAAACTCCGTCTCAACAAAACATTTAAAAAATTAGTCGGGCATGGTGGCATGTGCCTGTAGTTGCAGCTACTTGGGAGGCTGAGGTGGGAGGATCACTGGATCCTGGGAAGTAGAGGCTGCAGTGAGCCATGATCGCATCACTGCACTCCAGCCTGGGTGACAGAGCAAGACCTTGTCTCAAAAAATAAAAATAAAAAAATAAAGTTCTTTGTTGAACTGGATGTTTTTAGTCACAGCTCAAAATGGGCTAATCAGTAAAGGAATTCGCTGGCTCACATAACTGAAAAACAGGTAAGACTTGACTCAGGAGCTCACTAATCTCATCAAGGACAATTTTTCCCCATTTCCTGTTTTTGCTTCCATGGTGTTGGCTCTGTCTTAAGGCAGGCTGTCCTCATTGCAGGATGGCTGCCTGCTGTTTCTGTGCGTAAGGCTGCATACTTCCGTGTTCCTACCCAGATGGACAGAGAGAGAGAGGGCTGGGGGAGTGACTTTGTTCCAGAATTTCTAACAACATGCTGAGATCCACTCTATATTACATCAGCTTATGCAAATGTCCATTTCCAACCAATAACCATGGCAGGGTTATAGTGCACTGATTGACTTAGCTTAGACCTCATGCCTTGGTGCTAAGCTTCCCCGGCGCCTTCTAGATCCTTAAATGGAAACAAGCTGTTGGAAGGAAGAGACGGGGACCTGGATGTTGGAGAGGCAACTAACAGTGCCCGGTACAAAGTAAGGACACTATTTTAAAATTGTTATTATTAAGGAGACACTATTTCTTGATAATCCACAGTATGCCAAGCAATGCACACATGGTGTCATGTTTAACCCTCACAACTCTAAAAGGTAGATATTGTTATATCCTTTAATAGAGGAGGAAACTGAGGCTCAGAAAGAGTCATGCCCCCAAATTCAGGAAAGCTAACACATGGCGGACCTGAGATTCAAACTGAAGTCTTTTCTCAAACGTGTGCCCTAAGGATTTCTTTTTTGGTGCTGAGAAAATGTGTGAACCAGGGAAATTCACAAGAGGATTTGGTGGGATCAAAGAGGACAAATGAGATTTGCAAGTGACAGGAGGTTTTCCACTTCTTTAACAGATCATGACAACTGGCCCGAGGGAGCAGGGGACCTTTCTGTTGTCAAAAGGATGAAGGCATCTTTTAAGGACAAAGCTAAGCTCTGAGTGGAGGAAACAAGGTGTCCTCCATCCCCCAGTGCCTTCACATCTCGAGGATATGCTTCTCTACTTTTTAAAAGCTTATAGTTGGTATGGAAAACATTTTTCTGATTTTTAAATGTTATTAATTATATCTATTGAAAAACTATTCCTGAAATATATACACTCTTATGTCCCAATAAGCCTGTGATTTAAAAATGTTTAAGTACAGAAATTAATATATTTTAATGATTTTACTTTGTATTTCTAAGAAAAGTATTTGAAAGATGGAATAATTTTAAATCAATAATAATTCTAGGGATCATGAACTCCCAGAAGATTTTATTATTTAATTGTAAAGGTGGAGGCCAGGAGCCATGGCTCACACCTGTAATTCCAGCACTTTGGGAAGCTGAGGCGGGCGGGTCACTTGAGATCAGGAGTTCAAGACCAGGCTGGCCAACATGGTAAAACCCTGTCTCTACTAAAAAACAACAACAACAACAAAACACAAATCAGCCGGGTGTGGTGGCACACTCTTGTAGTCCCAGCTACTCGGGAGGCTGACGCAGGAGGATTGCTTGACCCCGGGAGGCAGAAGTTGCAGAGAGCTGAGATTGTGCTACTACAGTCCAGCCTGGGCTACAGAGTGGGACTGCATCTTAAAAAAAAAACCCCAAAAACAAAACAAAACAAAAAAATCATAAAGGTAGAAAATAAATCTAAATTGTGTCATAATTATGATTATTACAATTAAAATTATATAATGACTTATTTTTGGTGGCAAATACTTTTGGAATAATAAAGCCTTATGGTAATTATTGATGTGTAGTTTCTTTTGTTCATGAAGTCAAATTTGTATAAATTCTGTTAATTCAAAGAAAAAGTTTTATGTGATTTATTTTTGGCAGTGCCTGATTTGTGTCTTGATTTTCTGTCCAAAGTATTCCCTTTACTCATGAATCTCCTTCTGTAGGCAAAAACAAAATTTCAATTGTATGCAAATGTATTAGGGTTCCACATTCTGCCTTCCGTGGCTCCAGTCTGATAGTTAGACCCTAATTTAAGAAATGCCTTTAGCAGCTTGAGTATGTTCATTCTTTGTCTTAATCAAAGTTCTTTCAAGTGTCTGAGGTGAAGTAGCTATTTTATTTTCTTTATCATTAACACTCATCTTATTTGTTTGTTTATTTTTGAGGTGGAGTATCACTCTGTCACCCAGGCTGGAGTGCAGTTGAGCAATCTCAGCTCACTGCAACCTACACCTCCTGGGTTCAAGCGATTCTCCTGCTTCAGCCTCCTGAGTAGCTGGGATTACAGGTGTGCACCACCACGCCTGGCCAATTTTTGTATTTTTAGTAGAGATGGTGTTTCACCATATTGGCCAGGCTGGTCTTGATCTCCTGACCTTAAGTGATCCACCTGCTTTGGCCTCCCAAATTGCTGGGATTACAGGTGTAGGCCACTGCGCCCAGCCTATCATTAACACTCATTTTAAAGTGTATGATTTACCAAGCTCTGGGGTTTGGGACCCAGAATCTGCAGCTTCCTCATGCTCCCAAGCAGGGCTAGCATGAGGGAGAGGCTAATGAGGTACCCAGGGTGCAGCATTTAAGGAGGTATTCTCCATTGTCAGGTTTGTGCCAGTGCAGAATCGCCCTTGAGAGTGTGTCCTTAAATTTCGTGCTCATACTCATAATGTGGGAAGATCAGGAAGCTTTCTTTTCCTCCCAGACAGCACTTTAACGGTGGCCTTCTGGAACCGATAATATTATAAAAACTGAGAATTACAAAGTGTATTCAAGGGCAAAGTGGCCCTAATACAGGTTGGTGGAGAAGATGGAAAAGACAGGGCTTGCTTTCACATGACCTGTGTTGTTGACTGCCACTGACTCCTTAAATCTCCATAGCGTTCTGTCTCTTATACACATCTGCTTGCTTTCACATGACCTGTGTTGTTGACTGCCACTGACTCCTTAAATCTCCATAGCGTTGCCATTTATTTCTGCTTAAGGCACGGAACCTGCCTATGTAGCACTAAACTTAGGTATAACTCCTTATTAGAGCTTCTTCTTAGACTATCACGGGACAGCTGGTCATTACCTATATTTTAGAATTATGAATTTATTATCCAGGGCTCTTGTATACCTCATAATAGTATCCTGTCAATAATATTCTTTTGCAACTACACTTAGTAAATTTTGTTGTAGAGTGAGTGTTCTTGAATAGGCTTAATAATTTGGAGCTCCTACTATGTATTTAGCATTATGCTAGGAGTCAGACATGCAATGGTGAAAAAATACACATGGATCCTGCCCTTACTGAGCTTACAGTAGAGAGAGAGTCAGAGAGAGAGAGAGAGAGAGAGAGAGAGAGAGCACGAGTGCTATAAAGGATAAGGCCATGATGCCCATGGCGTATAACTGAAAGAAAGGGGCATCCAGAAAACAACATGAAAACCATTCTATATTTATGTAAAAAGAGTTTGTTGATAAAGATGACCCTTGTGAACATTATCCCTCCCCACACACTAATCTTATGGCTTGTGGCTTATGTTAGTTCAGGTCCTCTGAAAAGCAGGTGCCCAGACATAATGAGATTTGCATGACACTTATTGGGCACCAGGTCTGTGGAGGATAAAGACAGGGAGCCAGAGAAGGCAGCGTTGGCCTTCAGACCATACTGCAAGGGTGACCCCTATAAAAGAGAGGGGAGAGAGGATTGGGCAGGAGGCATCTCGGATTACAGCTAAGTGATGCTTTCTTAAGACAGGCTTGCTGAAAGTATGCATTCACATTTCCAGTGGCCCACAGGAATACCAAAAGGCCCTCAATGGGTCACATGGATTCCACCTGTATTGCTCCCTGTCCCTACTGTGTAAAAGTAACTATCTCCTCCTGCCGGTGCCTGGACAAAGGGAGTTCAGAGTGTTCCGGCATCAGTCCTAGTTTGTAGCTCACTGGGACCTTATGTCCCCTGGCAAGAGCCTCCCTCTTTGGGACCAGGATTTCCAGTGCTGCTATTCTCCTTAAATCCTGCAGCAGATCACTGGGAATGATGGAATGCAGGGCCACTCCTGCATTCCGGATCCCAGACATGGTCCCAAACCTACTAGGGACATGCACCCTTGAAGTCAGCACTCCATCCTGGCCCTTCAGCCAGGTCTTGGTTGTTGAAGCCCTCTGTGAGGCTGGCTGCCTATGGGTGGTGCAGAGTGTGGACGGACAGTGGTTCCACAACCAGGGGCTCACTCTTTCATGTCCTTCACTGGGAAGTGAGTCACCTGATTGGATGCTATGTCCCATGGGATTCCATGCCTATGGACCAGGCTTTCTGTAGCCCCCAGATAGTCATGGTGTCTGAGTCCCTGCAGGCAGGAAAGGCAAACTCTTGCCTGGAAGAGGCATCTATCACTATGAGAAGTGACGAGAAACCACATGGCAATTTGAACAGGGACAGTTAAAAGTGAAGAGTGATTATCACAACAGATTGGAGTAGTGTAGGACTGGCTAGCAGGAAGTAAAAAGAACTTGAACATGAGAATAGCAGAGATCAGGAGTAGCCTGCACTACTAGGGCCAAGACTGAGAGCTCAAAGAAGAGCCCTGGCCGGGCACGGTGACTGATGCCTGGAATCCCGGCACTTTGGGAGGCTGAGGAGGGTGGCTCACCTGAGGTCAGGAGTTTGAGACCAGCCTGGCCAACATGGTGAAACCCTATCTCTACTAAAAATACAAAAAATTAGCCAGGCTGGTGGCAGGCATGTATAGTCCCAGCTACTAGTGAAGCTGAGGCAGGAGAATCTCTTGAACCTGCAGTGATCCAAGGTTGCAGTGAGCCAAGATTGCGCCACTGCACTCTAGCCTGGGCAACAGAGTAAGACCCTGCCTTTAAAAAAAAAAAAAAAAAAAAGAGCCCTCCACAGCACCCCTGGAGCTGACGCCCAGATTGAGTAGGGAGGGCATGGCTGTGGCTCAGTGGAAGGCAGAGAAGTCACTGTGGTGTTCTCCTGGTGGAACTTGCTAGAAACCTGCCCTCTGGGGTCCTGGGGAAAACTGCACAGAGAGGTATCCAAGCGGAGGCCTCTGATGCAAAGCTCCCCGAGGGAGGTACTGGGAAGCTGGTGCTGCTTAGCACTCCTGCGGAGCAGTCTGCACTGCGCGGGTCAGGAAGCAAAACCCTCTTCCTCCTTCAATGTCTCTCCATCACTCTCTCCTGACAAAGCTTCAGAGCCCACTGGCCCAGGGAAACAACTTACAGGGCCCAGATCCATTTTCACGGAACGGAGAAGCAGTACATCTGGAGCCAGCCGCTTGTCGACTGGCCATCCTGTGGCCCCTTGGTGTTCTTAAGGAGCAGTGCCACTTCAGGGCTCAGCAATGGTCTGTGTTGCAGGAAGGTTGGACGTTCAGAGGCAGCAACAGCTCTGTTGACCTCGGTTAAAGGGGAGTCCATGCTAATGGGCCGTCTACAGCCTCCCTCCATCCCTGTGCCTGTCACACCAGTTCTGGGCTGGCCAGTGATGAAGGCCAGCTATCTATCAGCCGAGTCTTCTTGGCTGCTTGGTTGTTCTCGCCTCTTCCGTGAGGATTCCATTCTAGGGGCATTAATGTAGGAGGCGGAAATGACCCTCCCCTGGAGCACCCACTCCCCTGGGCTCCTCTGTAGGCCTCTACCCCAGTCCTTATTTCCTGGCCACTGTATATATTCTCATCTCGGGCCACTTTTCATTCCCTTGTAGATACCAGTTGCTCCCTCGTACGCAGCCCATTAGAAAGCTTTTCCATCTCCACCATCACGGGGCCACTCCTGAATAGTCCTATCATGAAGTTCTGTCAGCTCTGAAGGAGAGAAGGAAGGGAATTGGGTTGGAAAAAAAAATCACAGACTGCAGTACAGTCCAAGAAAGGGAGGACTAGGCGGATGGGAAGTTCTCAAGCCAAAGTCACCCCTGGGAGCCGCCCTTGTCCCAAGGGAACAGCCTAGATGGACAGCAGGACTGTGCTTGTCATGGGCCAGGAGCAGCCCGAGGGGGAAGGCAGTGGTGGATGGAGAGTGACAGCAGCTGGGGCCCACAGCCAGTGGATTTTGTTTCCCGTAGCAGGAAGTCTACGGCGTTTCTTTTCATGGCTGCCACTTGGCTATTCTGCAACTGTAAAACTTCACTATTGATCTCAGTTTTTAACACGACCTGGGGCTTGGCTCAAAGCAGTGCCACCTTGTGGTTAGTTGTGGAACACCAGCCTGTCTGGGCAGTGGCTTCTTAGGATTGAAGAGGTGGCTACAAAGCTTCAACTTGAGCTTTAGTTTCTTCCTTTGGTATTTCTTCTGCACCCCTTGTTTACAAGGATTTCATTTCAGCAAAGGAGGCATCTATTGAAATAAGACCAACCAGCAGGAAGATTCTAAACCATATTCAAGAATGGTATACTACATCCAAACTAGCGATTATTGAGCCCAAACTGAATTATTTGGATGGGGGTAACATAGGGGACAGTGAGCTGACAACACCTAAAGGTTACTGGGGAGAAACAGGACAGAGTTTGCACTGAGCCTGCCATAGTTTATGGTGGTTCATGAGTGTGGCAGAGAGAGTGGAAAACCAGGTCCCAAATAGAATATACGTTTGATGGTGCAAAGCTATTGCCTTCTGACCTGGATTCTGCTCTGCAGGCCCTAGGAAGAACCCTGTACCCCTGGTCAGCCTCCCATGCTGGGTTAGCATTGCCAGTGAGTCAGCTCTAGCATAAGCCAGTTGGGTAAATGGAGGGTTGCAAGAAATGGACAATGTCATCCAATTATTCTGTAGCATTGTTGTACCTGAGTTCATATGCTTTGAGTGGGAAAATTATATCCAGTTGGTAAATTTGGAAAAAAACTC